GAGGCACGTGAGACGGGTAGAAAAGCCTGCAAGGACAAAGGAGGGGGGGGGGGGGTAAGAAAGGAGGAGAGAATGAAGAAAAGAGGAAAAGGAACGAAACGAGGAGGGGTAGGGGGAGGGGGAGGGGGAGGAGGAGGGGGAGGAGGAGGAGCGAGAAGGAGGATAGGACAGGTCAGAAGAGGAGAGGAAGAGAGGGAGGAGAGGGGAGGAGAGAGAGGGAAGATAGAGAAGAAAGAGGGTGGATGGAGGAGAGGGGGACGAGAAGAGGGGAGAGGAGGAGAAGAGGGGGGAGGGAGAAAAGGAGAGAAACAGAGAAAAGGAGGCGCGGGGTCAAGCCAAGATGGAAGACGAGGAGGAAAAGCAAATAGAGATTTGACAAAAATGGATATCAGTACGTGATAGGGAAATAGATAAGGGAGAAAATCCAGACAGAAATGCAGAAGAAAACGGAAAGAAAAGAAAAAGGCAAAAATCCAAGCCACAGCCAAGCGAGCGAGAGGCGCGACACAGCAACCCCTCAACAACGATGACGTATACCATGACGTCACCAACAATCCATGAGGTCACCAGCTGATCGTTACGCAATGGGAGTCGGCAGCAAGCAAAGGCTTCGAGGAAAATGTTATTCTGGGAAAAGCTCTCGACTGGCGGGAGATGGTTAACTGGTGAACTGGGAGGAAACTGCCCGGTTTTAACCCGAAAGCTCGCGTTCACAGAAAGGAAAAGAATGGATGGGTGGCATTCGGGGAAGAGGGGGGGAGGGTAGTGGGAAAAGAAATGAGGGAGGGGGGGAGGAGAGAGGACGGGGGAAGGGGTGAGAGAATACAGGAGAACGAGGGGAGAATAGAGGGGGAAAAGGTGGAATAGAGAGAAGCAGACAGACAGAGCCAAAGAATATAAGCGGAAAACCCCAAAGAGAAATATTAAATATCTCCCCAGAACAGACAGACAGACTGACAGAGCGCCGGCGGACGCTCGCCCGGTGGTCGCTAAACGGCGGGCGCTGCGCATGACGTCACTGCCGCCGCATGGCACTAGCGCAGAACGAGCCTCTCTTCTTCCATTCGTGTTTATTCTTCATCTGTTTGTTTATTTTTTTAGGAGTAATTATGGTAACCTCTAACAAGAGCGTTGCTTAGTGTGTTTCTAGAAGTGCAGGGGGGTTGAATTGCAATAGCACTTGATGGATATTACTGGAGGTTCATTAATTAAAGTATCGTTAGATAATCTTATCTTCTTGTAGGAGAAAAGGCAAAAAAAGAACTCGGCACTGAAGTGACGTCCACGAAGCCTTTTACGGTAACTGCACATTATTTCTGGGACACATTGTAGCAAAAACGAATCGCGTGTCCGGTTTATAGACACGCCGTTTAAATACGTGAAATCCAAAGTTGACATGGCATCCGTGCGCACGAAAGGGGTGAGTAAGCAGAATAACAAATATGGAATCGTTATTGGCATCACGCCAATGCCCACGGAAGAAAATAAAAGAATAACAAATCTTAAAATAACGACATGTCCCTCTCCCGTCCCTGTAACAACAACAATAATAAAAACACGTTTACGGTGACAAGAATCCCGCAGTCACGGCTTCGTAAGTCAACAGGAAAGCTCTAATTTCATTCCAGGTACCGAGCGCTGGTCACTCCGAGCCCGACATGACGCCCGCGCGCGCATGTACGCTGACCCTTGCCGGATCCGCCCGCGCGCGCGCCCGCCTCTCTTTGCTCATCCTTCGCCCGCTTCTTCCTCATCTGCGACCGCTTATCGCCCTCGCCCTTTCCTCCGCCCCGCCTGACACTCCGAATCCTGCTCTTTAGTCCTCTCATCGTCTATTCCTCATCCCTCCCTTCCATGCGAGGCCACTGCGCCCATCTGACCCCCCCCCCCACCCCACCGCCATCACAATTTCTACTTCGCGTGATGGGGGGCGGCCTCCCCTCCTCGCAGACCCGATATTTCTTTCTCTTTTCCCCTCTCCTTCTCCTTCTTCTCCTCTTTCTCCTTCTTCTCCTTCTCCTTTTCCTTCTCCTTTTCCTTCTCCTTCTCCTCCTCTTCTTCTCCTTCTCCTTTTCCTTCTCCTTCTCCTCCTCCTCCTCCGTTTATTATCATTATTATTCCTCTTCTTCTCCTCCTCCTCTTCCTCCTCACAAATAACCCCGACCTCTGTGCCACGGATATAATCTCTAGCGCCACCGCGCCCACAAGGCGGTAAGTACCCTCGACCAGGGCACCCTTGTCAGACGCCCGCAAAACGCACGCCGAGGCACACACACACACACACACACACACACACACACACACACACACACACACACACACACACACACACACACACACACACACACACACACACACACACACACACACACACACACACACACACACACACACACACACACACTCTCTCTCTTACACACACTCACACACTCACTCACTCACTCACACACACCGAAAAAATCACTCTCACACAAGCACGTCCACATAGGCTCTCAGGCACACAATCACGTCCACACAGACTCATGCACACAAGCACATCCACATATGCTCTCACGCACACAAGCACATTTAACGAGGTTCCCACGCTCACACGTGCATCAGCAAAAGCTTCGTATCGCCTGTAGGCCTAAGTTTCTCAGAGTTTTTCTTCCCTTTCTATTTTTAAACATTTCAGGCCGTAAAAGTAGGCTAAGCCCCGAGGCGACTCGCAAGGCACGAATAAAAACGATAATGCACTTACACAGAACTCACTCACTCATGGCACTTACGCACTTACGCACGCACGCACACACACACACACACGCACGCACACACACGCACACGCACACGCACACACACACACATTCACTCACACAAACACTCACTCTCCCTCTGTGTCTCTCTCCCTCTCTGCGTCTCTCTCCCTTTCTGTGTCTCTCCCTCTCTGTGTCTCTCCCTCTCTGTGTCTCTCCCTCTCGGTGTCTCTCCCTCTCGGTGTCTCTCCCTCTCGGTGTCTCTCCCTCTCGGTGTCTCTCCCTCTCGGTGTCTCTCCCTCTCGGTGTCTCTCCCTCTCGGTGTCTCTCCCTCTCTCATTTCTCCCACTCAGCAGAAGCAAAATCAGACGATAAGAGTCGCACTGGACGCCTGGTGTTCGGAGAAACAAACAAACAAAATACATAAACACGAGTGTTAGAAAACTTGAAACTGACTATCACTTGCAAAAACAGACTTTAAAAAATGGTTGCAGTTACGTAAGCGAGAAAATATATTCTAATATATTCTGCAACATATTTTGTTCCAGATAAATTCTACAAGATATTCTGCTCAGTATAAATTCTGAGACATTCGGTTCAGTATAAAGCCTGCGACATACTATGTTCAATAGATTTTATATGTCTCCTACCACGATTATCCAATAACGATATATCAAAAGACACAAAGTTATGCAACATATATATATATATATATATATATATATATATATATATATATATATATATATATATATATATATATATATATATATATATATAACAATAGAAATAGAAATTCGTGTGAAAGTATGTAGCAAAAACCTGTTAAAATAGGCTAGACAGATGGATAGACCCAATGATATCACACATGCGCGCGCGCGCACACACACACACACACACGGAAAAATAATTTGGAAAAGGAAATGTCGACGATGATGGTAATACAAACATTAAGACCAATAAACCAAAGATTTTAAGGAAAGCAAAGCAGTAAGGAGAAAAAATAGGAAAACATGTCGCAACCGAGCCCCTCCCTTGCCATGCGAGCAGTCGTCACCCCCCTCCCCCCCTCCCTTCTCTTCTCCCTCCTTCCCTCCCCCCCTCCCTTCTCTTCTCCCTCCTTCCCTCCCCCCCTCCCTTCTCTTCTCCCTCCTTCCCTCCCCGCCTCCCTTCTCCCCAACGACCCAACACAGACAGTAACCACACATCATCCCTTGCATCTCCGCCCTGCTTCTAACCCCCCTCCCCTCCCTCCCGCCCCTACCCTGCCCCAACCCCTTCGTTCCCCTGCCCCCCCTCCCCCCACCTCCCCAACTACTCCAAGGTCGTTCTCTCGTGTTATTATTTACTCTGGTTCCTCGCAGCGGCCGAGCCAGGGAGCCGCAGCCTTGGGGCGTGTTGTGGCTGCTGCGGCGGCGGCGGCGGCGGCGGCGGCGGCGGCGGCGGCGGCTCTCTCTCTCTCTTGCTCTTCCTATTACTCGCAATCTTACACATCTGCTCTTATTATTCTTATTCTGTATTTCTTCATTTCCCTTTTCTTCGTAGTTTTGTTCCTCCTCTTATTCGTCTTACTTCTCCTTTTCTTCTTCGTGTCATTATCACCAGTACCATTAGACTTATCATTAGCAATTATTATTAGTGTTGTTATCATCCTTAGCCCTCTTCTTCCGCTTCATTTACCTCCGTCACCATCGGGACCGGAGCCTTTATCATCAACTTCTTCCTAAATATTCACTTTTTTTTCTCCTTGAGCTTCCAAACATTTTCGTATTCCTCCTCCCTCGCCCCTATCACCATTCCTAATCTCACTTTTTATTACAGCAATTACAATATCCATCATCGCATAATGATATGATCCTTACCCTCGTCTATTCCTCCTACTTTCTGTCTCCTCCTCCTCCTCCCCCCCCTCCTCCTCCTCCTCCTCCTCCTCCTCCTCCTCCTCCTCCTCCTCCTCCTCCTCCCCCTCCTCCCCTCCTCCTCCTTCCCCACCCCACCCTCTTTCGCCCTCCCCCCCCTCCCTTTCCTTTGCCACTTCCCTTCTTCTCCTTGCAACTATTCCTCTGCCTGGTCTTGCACTTCCCTCTTCTGCGATCTAGCACTTTGGACGGAAGACACAAGCATACGGACGAAAAGGGGAGCGGAAGAATTGCAGGAAAACAAGAGGAAAATGAGACGAGGGGGGGAAGGGAGAGGGGAGAAGGGAGAGGGGAGAGGGGAGAGGGAAGGGAAGGCGAGAGGAGGGTCGTAAGGGAAAAGGGTAAGGGTAAGGGTTTGTGATAGGGTAAGGGAGAGGGAAGGGGGGGAGGGCAAAGGGGAGGGGGTCTACGGATAAAGAGGAAGGGGTCTGGGGAAGAGGGGGGGAGGGGAGCAGGGGTTGGGTAAAGAAGTAAAGGGTTCTCAGAAGGGGCAGAGGGATGGCGAGGGGAGCGGGGGTGAGGGGAGCGGGGGTGAGGGGAGCGGGGGTGCGGGATCTGTCACGTCCCCTGGCGGCTTACCGGAATAAAAAAAAGCTCTGTAACGAACCGCCTTTCCAGACCCCCGACGCGGCCACGTAATATCCTGAGACGTGATTCTCGCCTTCCTGTCCGTGCTCGTGTTGGCATGGGAGAGGGGGAGGGGGAGAGGGAGAGGGAGAGGGGGAGGGGGAGGGAGAGGGGGGAGGGAGAGGGGGAAGGGGAGGGAGAGAGGGGGAGAGGGAGAGGCGAAGTGCAGGGAGACCGGGGAGATTGACGGTGAGGAGGAGGAGGAAGATGGAGTAAAGAACAGGAACAAAACGCGGCCAAAAAGCCGTAGTGGCAGATCCGGCCTCGAACGCCAGAGGCCTCGCCCATCACGCCCTCTTCGGCTTGAATCAAGACCAGACGAGCTGGAACGGAACAGCGAGACCCAAAATAATAATAACAAAGAGGCAAATCGTGTAAAATTATGTAACTGTCTGTTGCTAGGTGGAACTAGTGCCCCCCCCCCTCCTCGCAGTCCCTCAGTCCCTTTCCACCTACAGACAAAAAGGCACGCGCGTCAGATCTACCTGTCAACATGTAAACAAACTTGTACAGAAACGCCTCCGTCTTCCCTCAAACCACATCCCCGTCTACCCTATACCCCTACCCCATACCTATACCCACGCCCATGACAGTATCCCACCCCTCTCCCCTCCTCTCCTCTATCCCTACGTTCGTATCCCCTCCCCCTCTCCCCCTCACCCTGTCAACACCAAACACCACCTGTAACATGTAAACAACACCCCCGCTATCATCCCTCCTCCGCCCCTCTACGCCTGCCACTTGTTCGTCTTTCTCTTTCATTAAAATTTATTATGAATTCCCGGCACCGCGACTGTTTACTGCCCGCGGGGTTGGAAGACGGGGTAGTGCCCTAGAAAAGATGGGGGGAGGGGGCGCTTTCCTGGAAGAGCGTGGTGGCACTCACAGTAAATGGAGGTCTAATTGTCTCATAAAAATCAGAGACTTATATTTCGCAAACTTTAAAAATGGGAATGTTACATAAAAACGTGCACACTTCTGTTCGTGAACTTCTTTTGGAAAGGAGCGCCTTCTAGCAGGGAGAGGCAGACACATTTTGTGTGGTAAGTTTCACACATTCTGTGTGTTATGTGTCGTTATACAAGAAGGAAAATAGATGGACGGACAAACAGACAGCATGGGCCAAGTGTGACAAGCATGAAAGCGTTAAGGAAAAAACACACATTTTAGATTACAAAGCTTCCGCGTTCAAAAAAAAAAAAAAAAAAAAAAAAAAAGAACAATTTAAAAAATCCCAATGACATTTAAGCCTGACAGAGCGCGTGGCGACTCCTGGCGGCGGCGGCAAGAGAGGCTGCGGCTTACTTTCACGTCAATTTCTACGCTGCACACGACACTACTGTTATTTTTTGTTGTTGTTTATTGTCAGTGCATCTAAATATCCAATCGAGAGAAGCAGGGCAGCATTAACGCAAAAAATAAATGAGACCAAACACGAAAAATGTGAGCCTGTCAAGGTAAACGTCAACAGCCTCTCATAACAAGCAGAGTAGAGTAAAAACAGCAGCAAATCCGTTCCAACAGCTGATCAAACACAGACAAGTGACCCTACGTGACCCCAAGCCTCTCCCATTACCCAGATCACTCTAGTAGTAGCAACGCGTTTCTTCAGGTTTCGAAATTATGAATGAAGGCGCGAGGGCCGTTCATCAAATATCCGGCGGCAATCCGTCGACGCCGATGGAGAGTGGAACTTTCACTCGGCTCATCTCGGATTCACGGGAGGGGGGGGGGTTCTCGGCGGACCCACGGGGTGCGAGGGAAAGATACATACATACACATATGATATTTAGATAGATATAAACAGAGATTCACAACATACATTATATATATATAAATAAATATATAAATATATATATAAACACATACATACGCATGCATACGGAAAAAAGAGACAGACAATGGAAAAGCAGGGATGCCATAGAGACAAGCACTCGCACACAGTACCATTCGCCCCCCCCCCCTCCTGCTGCTGCTGCCTAACCGGGGCCCCTCGAGCGACCTGTCTGGCCGGCGCGTTCTAGGTCAAGGCGGGGCTGTGACGTCGCCGATGAACTGAGGTTTCGAACGGTCTATCTTGGGCGAGAGGAAGGTGGATAGGTGGAGAAAATGTGGATACAAAGATACTGGAAGGAAAGGAAGTGGATAGATGGATAAAAGGTGGATACAAGCATATTGGATGGAAAGGAAGTTGGATAACTGGATAAAAGGTGGATACAAAGATACAGAAACACGATCGTAGAATATAAAAAATAATTTTAAAAATAAATAAATATAACCGGAGTCACACAAATCTGACACACACAAGCAATCGCACGTGGAACTTATCATCCCCCCCCCCCCACTCCCTGGCACGGGTCACAAGCCAGGTCATGAGGTTAAACGAACACGGATGAGAGGGCGTCATCCACCACCGCCCCGCCCGGCTGCGGAGAAGCGAGGGGGGGGGTCATAGAAGGGGAGGGAGGGCATGAAGAGGGAGAAGGAAATGGAAAGAAAGAGGAAGAGGGAGAAGAAGATTAGCGGGTGAAGAAGTGGAAGGCACTGAGGACAGGGTGAAGGGGTGAAGGGGAGGAGGGGAGGACGAAGGAAAGGGTGAAGAGGAGGAGGAGAGGACAAAGGAGGAGATTCGTGCAGAGCAACAGGATTGAAACCCTTGTTTTGCTCCCCGATTACAAGCTACTCGCCTGCGTCTATAAATAGACAACCAAAGAGGAAACAATGCCATGCCAGCACATGACAATGCGTCAAGGAAACAAAAAGAATAAAAAGGCCCCGCAGCGAAAGCGCTTGTTGGGAAACTGGGAGAGAAAGGCGAAAAGGGAGAAAAAATAATAAACTTTTAAAAACCTAGCGATGTGGTAACAGCCATTGTCTCTTCAGACATTAACTGCCTCATCACGTCATATCCACAAGGCCTGTTTCTGGGACGTGCCCTTCAACCCGCATGCAAGAGGGGCGCATGCAGAGCCACAGGACTCCTGCGCGCCCGCCCTCGCGCGCGGAGGAGCATCCAGGTGCGCGCCTGTCGTCGGGAGGAGCCAGGTGCGGGAGCCAACTCCTCCCGCGCTGCCCCCCCTCCTCTTCCCTCTCGTTATCCCTCCGACTTCCCCCCCTTCTCTCCCTCCCCCCCTCCTACTCGCCTTCGCCCTCCTCCGCCCTCCTCACTCTTCTCCACTCCCCCCCCCCCTTTCCAGGCCTACCTCCTCTTCCGAGCCGCCCAAGGCCTACCTGCCCGCCCCCCTCTGCCCGGGGACCCAGCTGAGAGCCCCACGTGCCTCCCCCTGCCTCCCTGCCTCCCTGCCTCCCTGCCCCGCCCCTTCCCTGCCGCCGCCGCAGCGTTCCAGTCTGGGCGTGGGAGGCGTGGGAGGCGTGGGCCAGGCGAGAGAAACGCTGTCCCATCAGCAGCATCGTCGTCGTAATGTCAGAGATCACTGCCGCATTCCGTTTTCTGTTCAGATGTGCGTGCTTGTGTGCGTGCTTGTGTGCGTGTTATGGTGGTGCGCACCTGGCCGGCCGAGGCGGTCGCTCGCTCGCTCCGCGACGCGACTCCGGCGGCGGCCGCGCCTCGTCGAGCCCGCTGCGCCTTCTGCTGTTCGTCCTTTCCTCTGCCTCAAGACACCTTTAGATTCACACTCTCCCTCTCTCTCTTCCCTCTTCTCTACTTCTCTTTCTTTCTTTCTTTCTCTCTCTCTCTCTCTCTCTCTCTCTCTCTCTCTCTCTCTCTCTCTCTCTCTCTCTGCAGAAACTCTACCGAACCCACAACGTACGCCGCCCACACCCACGCACGCCCACCGACTCCGCCGCGACGGGAAAGGACCGAGAGCGATCCAGTACCCGGCCGCACCGCCGGACCTCCGACACTGAAGCAATTCTCTTTCAACCTCTATTTTTTCTCTCTTCCTTCTCCTTCTTCTTTCTTCTCCTTCTCCCTCTCCCTTTCCTTCTCCTCCCCCTTCTCCCCTCTCTCGCCGTCCGTCTCTTTGCCCCGACACGAGCGACGCCGACCTGCGATGGGCTGCTGGAACGGAATTCCTTGCAAGGAAGGAGAAGGAGGAGAAGGAGGAGGAGAAGGAGGAAGAGGAGGAGGAGGAGGAGGAGGAGGAGGAGGAGGAGGAGGAGGAGGAGGAGGAGAAGGAAGAGGAGGAGAAGGAGGAAGAGGAGGAGAAGGAGGAGGAGAAGGAGAAGGAGGAGGAGGAGAAGGAGGAGAAGAAAAGGGAGAGAGGAAAAGGAGGCAAGGAAGGGGAAGAGAGGAGGCGATGGAAGTTGCGGAAACAAGACGAAAGACGAAAGACGATGGGAGACCGGAAGGGAAGGGATGGGAAGGAGGAATGGTTAGACGCTTGAGAAGATGGGCAGATAGATAAATAGACTCTTATGAATAGAAAGTCTTCATATATAGAAAAAACGAACACCTCAGAAGAAAACGAATGAAAAGAAATAGAGAGGAAGTGGACAGGAAGGAAGGGAGGCGAGGACAATAGGAAAGAAAGAGAGAAAACGGATGGACGACCGAGTGGAGGGCCCGGCAGGTTGCCAGCGATCAATTTGATCACCCATTTCGTCATCACGAAATCTGGACCATCCAGATTCGGCTCACACCTGCCCACTTAACACCTCCCCTCCTCCTACCCCCTGCCCTCCCCCTCTCCTCTCCTCTCATCCTCCTCTCCGCCTCTCCTCCTCTCCCCCTTCTCCTTCCCCCTTTTCTTCCCTCCCGCCTCCGTCCCATTCACCACCCTTCCCCTCCTCCCCGCTTTCTACAGAAGGGACCGCCGGCCTTCCTCCTCCAGCGAGAAGGAAGGACGGCGGGACCTGCTATAGAAGGCGGGGAGGGAGAGTAGACGGAGTGAAGACGAATGGGAATGATGGAGAGGGAGAGAGGGAAAAAGGGAGAAAGGGAGAGAGGGAGAGAGAGAGAGAGGGGGGAGAGGGAGAGGGGGAGAGGGAGAGAGGGGGAGAGGGGGAGAGGGGGAGAGGGAGAGAGGAGGAGGGGGAGAGGATTCCTCGATGGGCGGTGAACATGGCCCCATCCCTCTTTTCATTATTTTCATGGCCATTCAATTTCCTTCTCTTTCTGTTTCTCACCCCCCCCCTCCCCCGTCCTCCATCAGCTCCCTATCCTGCGCTTTTACGACACTTCGCAAAAATAGACGAAAAAAAGAACAGCGATAAAAACACGCGTCTCCGGCTCAGGAGGCAACGCCGGTAAAAAATCGCCCGAGACAATGGCCGCTGCCCGTCGCCATCCACCAAGACAGACAAACAGACAGACAGACAAACAGACAGAGAAGAAAGACAGACAAATAGACAGAAAGAAAGACAGGCAACCAACAAACCAAAAGAGACAATAGCACCAAACAGACAAAGAAAAGACAGCAAAGGTTTTAAAACAGACTTAGAAAATAAAACAGACAAGACATTAACACAAACAAGACCACGAGGACATGACAAAGACACGGAAACAGGAGAAAACAACAGACGAAAGACGAGAAGAGTAGGAAAATTATGATACTGTAAGACAATTTAAGAAAAAAAGAGGAAGGATGGTGATCAAGAGAGATGTAAACAATGGATGATGATGATGATGATGATGATGATGATGATGAAGAAAACAAATAACGCAAAAAAGAAAGAGAAAACAAGGGAAGATAATGGAAGAAGAAGAAGAAGAAGAAGAGGAAGAAGAAGAGGAAGAAGAAGAAGGAGAAGAAGAAGAAGAAAAGAAGGAAAAAAGGGGGAAGACAGGATAAGGAAAATAAGGAAAGAAAAAAAGAATTAAGGAAAAAGGCGAAGGTCCCTCCCATTGCCTAACGGTCCGGTGCCGCTCAAGGTGTGCAACGAGACCACGTTGCAACACTGGTCCACGGCAACGAACCAGGGGATGGGGGAGGGGAAGGAATGGGAGGGAGAGAGGGAGAGGGAGAGGGAGAGGGAGAGGGAGAGGGAGAGGGGGAGGGAGAGAGGAGGGGAGGGAGGAAAAAGAAGAGAAGAGTGGGAAAGGGAAAGGGAAAGAGAAGGGAAGAACAGGGAAACGGAAGACAAAAGGAAGAGAGAGGATAAGAGAGGAGAGAGAAGGAGAAGGGAGAGCAGAGGAAGAAAGAACACAGAAACAGACACCAGAAAAACAGAAAAAACAAAATCGTCCCATGTTCAGCTTTACCAAATAATTTCCCTCTGATCGTTCGGCCATCCGCAAATCCTCAAAATTTCCCGGAAAATAAATAAATAAAAAAGAAGGACACTGTTTATACTGAAAATCCATCTGGACGAGAAAGCCAGTGAAAACAAACCTCTTTCCTGCGACCATAAAAGACAACAGTGAAAAAAACACAAAAAAAAACGAAATATCGCGGTGTCTGCCACCATGAACAACAGTGACATCAACAGCAGCGCCGCTCTCTGACCTCACGGGCTGACGAGACGAGACGGACTTATCTTGCGGGAAAAATGGGAAGAATGATAACAAGGGCGTGGCGACGCTCAGGAAGACGGAACAAAAACAGAAGGGACGCTGGAATATCATGATCACGATAAGAATAATAACTTCAACGACAATCATACTAAACAAACACCAAACAATTAACAAAACCATACCAAAACAACAGGAGGAAGAACAACAACAACAACACAAAAGAGGCAAATCCAGCGCCGCCCGCATCCTCGTGCACATCGCCCGTCGCTTTACACAACTGCAAAATATAAACTTATGCTCTCATCTGTAAGTAACAGGATATGCAGTCCTGATCCTACTCGCCCCCTCCCCCCTCCACCAACTGCTCCTTTCCTCCCTTCTTGGCTCCCTCTCGTCTATTCTCCCCTCCCTTTTTTCATTATCCCCTCATTTCCTTTCTTCACTCCGTTATCTTCTTCCCTCTCTCTCTCTCACTTTTTTTTCTTCTTCTTTTTTTTTGAGGTAGAGCAAGAAAAGTGGAAAATACGGTGCGAATTGTGGGCCTTTTGTCTCCTGCGGGTTATCATCTATCTTCATCACCATCTCTTTACTGTCGCTTTTTAACAGGGAAGAAGCTTCTCTCGAATCCCGCTCTTTTCCCCACTTTCTCGCTTTCTCTCTCTATCTCTATCTCTATCTTTAACTTCTAACCTCCTTGCTCCCCTTCCTTCTTATAAAAAAAAAACAAAAAACACGGGGATGTCCACGATAATCACGGTGATTGAAAAGCCGCCTGGAAAGACAAATACACACGCAATTTGAACATTC